GACCAGAGAACCAACAGGCGCTTGGTGTCGTGTCGGCGGTGTCGCCGAAACAGACTCATGCGACATACCCGGGTGTTCGGACGACGATGACGGCGGCGGTGCAGATACACTGCTGATCGGTGGCGACGGCGTTCACTGGATGCACGTGTCGCCCGATTGGAGAGGTCAACCGGGCCTGCGGATGCGGCTCAAGCGGTGGGCGCCGGGCGTCCGCGAGGGCGTGTCGGTGCGCTTCCGCCGATCCGGTCGCGCGTCGTCGTACGATCTGGTCCAAGTGGGCGCGGACGGCGACGAAAAGATCAAGTTGTTCCGGTCGACGGGCCGGAACGGAGAACCGCGTCCGGCCGCAGCGGCCGCCGCCGACGACGAAATCGTATACCCGCACCTGTTGATGGCCAGCCGGTGGACGGAGTTGCTGTTCCGGTTGGACGACGACGACCGCGGTGAAGACGGCCAGGCAGCGACGACCGTCACGATGAGCACGGTTACCGGTGGACGGATATTCGGTTGGACATTCAGTAACAGCACCGGCGGCGACGGCGGCGGTGGACGCATCGCGTTCGTAGGACTGTCCGCGATAACTAGCCGTGGTTACGTGGCCGCTCGATTCCCGACGGAAGAAGGTACGTACATATACTGCAGGTTGGCGGAGACACTATCGAAAGGTATGACGTGTGAAAAAAGAAAATGTTCGAAGACCGGACAGAATGAAAGTGTTTTCGGGAAAATTATTGTTTCGAGACGATTAACTGATAATTGCATCAATATAATAATTACTAATTAGTATTAATTATACGTTCTTAAAACTATAAAAGAATATCGAGGTGTAAAATTAAATAAAAAAAAAAAAAAAGAAATCGATGGATGTTTATGTATAACAGACACGTTTGAACATTATATTATTTTATTATGTGTATACGATATATATAGCGATCAAAATCAGTAAAATAATGAATATTTTTACATAGATTTGTAATACTTTTATGGTTCCATCGAATATTAGAAAGAAAATGTTTTAATTTCATATTGTTACGTACCTACGTGTATAATACTATTATGTTTTTTTTTCTATATCGTTTTCATCATATTTTGTCATAGATTGTCTCATTCATAGTTCTGAGTCTCAGAATTTTTCCATTTTTTTACCGATAAATGTCCGGTCAAACAAAAGTCTGACGAGTACCAAGCCCGAAATCGTTTTCCGCGTGAAACATACTGGTAATTATAAATCACATAGTTAATAAATACCACATTTGATTTAATTCTGATCGTTCATCATCAAAATATCTATACTCTATAATTGGCTTTCATTCTTATAAAAAATATAAGAAAATAGGTAATGCTGGCGAAACGTACGTATATTTATCTACCTTAGACTTTAGTGTATACATAGATTATCTATTCTGATTTCCAATTATAACACATAGTTGTATGCATTGTTTGTGGCAGGTGTAACGTGTATCGCGTTAATGAGCCGGAAACTTAGCGAAAGGCACGTGCTGGAAATTGACGGTGGTCGAGCGGTATTGTGGGACGAGAGGAAACGACCGAAGAAATCGCTCGGAGAGTATGAGTCCAAAACCGGTGCAATATTCACGCCTGGCAATTGGACCAGAATTCTTTTGAGGTTGGGTTTGGTTATTACTTGTTTGGTATCCACACCAATTAACATATTTTATTGAACGATTAAACGGAATTAATAATAATTACCTACTTAAGAATCTCTCCACTCTACTCGATGTGAAAGTGCCGTATACCTAAATTAAATTGTTCGTAAGTAGGAAAAGATGGGTCGATCTTTTATTTGATTATAAATTATTACATGGGTCAATTGGCTCTTCCGATTTGTTGTTTCAATTACCTTTATCCGTTCCATTCTTTAATTCAAAGAATCCGTGCGCTTTTAAAATAAATTTCTACGCAAATAACATTGCGAGGTGTGCCCCGCGATTGCGTTATGCGCTGTATTAATAATTTCTTTGACGTTAATTTATTTTCCAACTCTTTTAATTTTTATATTAAGACAGTTGTATCTTTAGTTTAAACGTTTTTTTGTGTTTTTGATTCATGTTGTATTATTCATACAGTTTTACTCTGTTTCCTATCCATTGAAACGTTGAAAATATAAATAAATACATTTTTTTAATCCAGATAATGCGATAATATAATATGTCGGAATGACGTAAATATGTTATACAACGGGAGAAACACTTTTTAAAATAAAATACGAGGAAAAATATTTGGTTTTTTTTTAAATCCTCCCCCCCCCCCCTCGTAGCAAAACTTTCAGGAGTAAGTGTCTCCGACCACGATCACGCCACTACAAATCTATACCAATTTGACTCGTAAAGTCATTGTGCAGTTGGAACGAGAGCGCATTGCGAATGGACTGTGGCGGCGTTCATGTGCGGCATTGGACCGTGGACCGGGAACGGCCGCTGCTGGTCCGTTACTTTTCGGTGGCCAACCGGGGCGGCGGTCGGACCGAATGGACGGTGAACTGCGACGAGCCGTGGAGGCGGCTGCCGGACGTGGACGGCCCGCCCAGGGACGGTGGCTGGGGCGAGTGGGGCGAGTGGGAGCGGTGCACGAAATCTTGCGGCGGCGGGACGGGAGTGCGGAGCAGGCGGTGCGACAGTCCCAGGCCAAACGTGTCGGGCAGGCCGTGTCCCGGGCCGGCCACGGCAGTCGGCCCGTGCAATCAACACGAGTGCGGACAGGTGTCCGGCAAGACGGCGGCCGCGGTGCGACGGTCGCTGGCCGGCCGGCCGCACAACGCGGTGGCCGCGGTCGGCGACCGGTTGACGATGTTGTGCGACCCGGCGACCGTGGACGCCGTCCGGGCCGATTCGCCGCGCGCTCGGTTCAGTTGGCTGCGAAACGGCAAGATCGTGACGTCAAAGGTCGCAGACGGCGAAGACGAAAGATGCACTTTGGGTAAAAGACATTGTAATAGATTTACGGTACTCACTACTCATATTATATATCATCATTGTTATGCCTGTGAATTATTGTGTGGCGTACTTTATAATATGTCCTGTCCATTTTTCATCGAAGTTCGTTTTCGGTGTGATTGATTCTGACTATATCATCACGACCGGAGGTGGATCAAAGGGTAGGCAAAATAAGCAATTGTTTACGGCCCAAAAATAATTTGTCCTAAATTTAAAAAAAAAAAAAACTAAAAATTTTAATATTTTAAATATGAAATAAAAATATTTGTTTTCATAGCTATGGTTTTATGATAAGTTATATACGTACATATAGGTACGATTATTATGTTTTTCAAATTATGTAATACATAATAATAGTGACAATTAATGGGTAATTACATTTTTTTAAACATAGTATTTTAATGTAAATTTACTATTTATTATTTTATTTTTAAATTAATTTGTGTAAAATATAACATGTTTAGTACCTAATAAATAGTCGAAAATTTAATTCATTTTTTTAAAGGGTTGAAGACGATGTATAGGCTATTTGTATGCATATTTGCTTACGACCCTAAAAACAGTAAAAACCATAATTCGGCTCTGACCATGACATGCGTCAAATTTCGAGCCTGAAGAATGTTTTAAAAATTTATTATCGGTGTTCTTTTGAGCCGTGTCTGAAATTTAAACTTCATTTTGCACCATCAATTAATATTCAAATACGGTAGGTATTTGGAAACAAGCGTGCATTGCACATGTTGTTTTAAATCTTTATATTAGTTCATATTCCGAATTCACGATTAAGTAGGCAACTCAACGTACACTTTGATTCTTTGATTAGAGCGTTATAAGTGCATCTGTTTTGGTAAAAATAAAACTAAAAAAAAAATTTACTAATTATTTATACATTTTCTTGAAAAAAATAAGTATAATCAATCGTACATTCATACAGCATAGATTAAATAATTAAATTTATAAGTGGTAAAAATATTTAATCACTATTCAACAACTGGTTATAGTAAAGTATATTATTTATTTTTTTTTTTTGCAACCGATGAGCCGATTTAATTTTGGTTTTAATTCAATCGGGTAGGAAGGTAGGTACTTAATCTATACGACTGTACCACATAATATAATCCAAATTAAAATTAAAGCGTTACATAATATATTATTTAAGGTGTTAGAAATGTCTTCTATGCATAGGTATAGTGTAATGATTTTTTGTATGCTTATTGCAGTCATAAGCTCGTGCACAGTTCATGATTCAGGAGTATATGTATTTGTGGCAGAGCCACCAAAATCTGAAAGAATCGTGTTGAAACTGTTTGCAGTGGCTATTTATGACAAACCCAAATCTGTATACATAGGAGATGTAGTAAGAGTGCAATGTAACGCAGTTACACTGAGTTATTTATTTAACAGGTTGTCCCAAGAATGGCTCGTTAACGACAGTTATGTAATTAAAAATTATGGAGTTAATTCCCTTGCATCGGTACTACTACATATAATAATATAACATAAATCAATAAATTCATTCCTGTTAATTCTGTAGATTGATGTAGATACAATAACCATAGAAAATAAACATTTCCAAGGCATTTGGAAATGCGTTGTCAAGAGCACTGAAATTAATAGCACATGGGTCACAAACGCAATGGAAATTAAAGGTATGTAAAATCTATTTTATAAATGTCTATCAATGAATACAAGCTGTTATTCAAAATTTAGTGATTGGACTATCAACCAGATGGACCCAAATAATGCAAGATCCTATCATAAAAATGTTATTCCAAAATAGTTCATCAACAATGATCATTTTGATATGTACAACACTTATTTCAGCATTATGTGTAGGCACGTGGTGCTGTGCTTATACATTTTACAGGTAATAAAGTATAGATAAAAATTAAAGGTAATAAAATATATTGGTTAAAAATTTAAATGTAAATTTTTAGATGGCAAAAACAAATAATGAAGAAAAAATCCAAAGGAATACATAAGGAAGTTCTATATCAACAATTATAAATATTATTGTTTTGAATGAATTATCTTTAAGCTATAATCTTATACCGTATAACATTTTTTATTAATGCAAATATTATTTATCATATTTTACAAATTGTCATAAATTTAGAAGCATTTGATGCATATTGTTCAACAAATTGATCAGACTCCTCATTATTCAAAGTTGTTACCGCTTGATGATATGTACTGGAAACAAGTTTTGGTGACCCATATTTTAGCTCAAAGTAAATTCTTTCCATCCACAAATCTATAGGAAAAAAATAATACTTTTTTAAATACAGTAACAATAATAAAATTAAAAAAAAAATAAATAGTGTCAACTAACCAATATTAGTTTTACCAAACTGCATGCATGCTAATGTAAAATGCTGCCTGGTTTTGTTGATGTCTACTTTCTGTTGTTCGGTTTCTAGAGTAACCATAGTCTTGCAAAGACTTGCATCACAACTGTTGCTCATGATCAATTTATTATATGTATTTCGAGCATTATCTAATGACTTGTTTTTGCTTAACCATAACAAATACTCATGTCCAAGTTTTCCTTTAACTTCATCGGAACAAACAGATTTATCTCCAAATATCATACAGAAAATATCACTTATCAGTGGTTTATTTGAAAAATGTTCAACAATAGTAAGCCATAAATTTGGAGAAATTTTATCAACGTTATGTTCAAGTAATTTGTAAGCAATTAGTTCATCTGTATCGGTTAATTTATTTTTTATATTAATTTCTAAGATACTTGTGTCATTTGGATATGCTTCGATGGCCCAATCTAAAATTTCTTTTGTCATAGAACTTTTTGACTTATTTATCTAAACAAAAGTGAAAAAAAATAGTAAATAAAATGAAAAGTTTCATAGAAACATAATTTAAATATCTTACCCATTCAATATAATGTTTTGGTTTCAATTTATTTTTCTTGTGAGCATTATACATAGATTGTCTAAGTAAATTTCTTTTATAAATTTCTGTATTTTGGGTATCAGATGTTATTTTTAATATAGTGGTCAAATACTTGTCCCACATCTCGTCTGTATCAATTATTGATAATGCAGCATTATATCTATCAAGGCATTTTCTAAAAAAAAAATGTTAAAACATTTAACTAAAAATGTTAACTAAAGTTTTAACACTAATAATTTATAAATGAGTTCATACGTAATTTTAAATTTTTCTGAATTGTTAGTATTTTTTAATAGTTCATTTGTAGCTAAAGTATCCCAATAATTTGGATCCTTACTAAATGTATTCAACATGAAACTGAAAAAATACAATAATACAAGAATATTATTTTGTCTGAAAAGGACATCATACATACATGTGTTGTTTTTTAAATGTACAATAAACAAAATTGGCTTTTATTAAAATAAATTATAAGTTGTTATTTTTGATATTAAATTGAATTATCTATTATCAAACACAAAGGTAAGAACATTATTTGAGTTTACACATTGGTTTTCATAATATTTTAATTTTTAACCAAGTTTGAAGGATGCAAAATATAACAGTATACTAGCATAAAATATTAACGTGTTTAAAAATTAAGATACCGTAAAAAACTGAACAGAAACACAGATAATGTTCTTACTTTTAGGTTAGATTAAATATTAGGTAAATATTCACTTTAATATTAAAGCAAACATCACTAAATTAGTTATATCGAGCATATATTTAAATGTTGAATTTGTAAGACAGAGATAATGTATTGAGTGTATTATACAATTAATATATTGGTTAATTTTTTTGATCAACTATTATTCAGAAAACAATGAAAATTAAATTATAATTGTTTAAAACTATATTATGTATCAGCTATTAATAACAATAATAAACGTTAATTCTAAGTTGTTTTTACATTATTGTTTTTTAATTTTTATATATTTATAGTACAGAATAGGCAACAAATTTAAGAACATTTCTGAGAAGATATCTCCTACACTAAAAGTGTAATATTAGGGTGTTTTACATATTTGTACCAAATTGTTTATAATTTTCAAATCTATAATTTGAAATTATTTCAGTTATTTAATTTTAACTTTTTATAAAAAAATTTTATTAGCTACATAGTATACATATCATTCTATGAAACTAAATAGGTAGAAATTTCAAGATTATATTTTTATATCTTGAAAGCATATTTGAATGAATAATCAGGTATTATCTTTAAAAGGTAAATGTTTAATTAATGCTATTTGCAACAACATTATTTATATTGTCTAATATGTAAGTTACTTGAGTAGCAAGTGGATTATTGAAATGTGTTGAATATGATATAATAGTAATAATAATAGAAAACAAACTAATTGAAATTAAATTTAATAATATTTTTAAAGAAAGCAGTATTATTACAATACAAGTTGATATAGACAACCAGAAAAACTTAACACCAAAATTCTGACAAACCTATAAGTTTTTTATAAAGAATATTTTAGAAATGTACCATGTTTATACATTTTAATTTACTTAATGCTACTTATAATGCTATGCTGTCAATTAACCTAGTGTTTACTATAAAAATTATTTTTATAATATAATCCTTTTCAGTTAATTTAGCAACCATAGAAGCAGCTTTTCAATTAAACCCAAGTAGTATTTTCAGCTATGTTAAGTGTCTGTATAAAACTATTATTGAAACTTCTTATAAAATGATATTTAGATGTTTAAGTAAAATAATTGTTTTACACTTAATTTCTGTTTATTTTTATTAATGCTTTAAATATTTTTTATTAAACTAAAAACTTAGTTAAGAAATAAAATTAATAAGTATTGATATACTGGATTTTAATTAACTACCAGAATGAACATACTGACATTAATAATATTATTGATTGTTATACTGCTGCTAATAATAGTGCTACGAATTTTGTTATTTAGTTAAATTTTATTTTTATAGTAATGAATTGTATACATAGAAATTTTTTTTGTAAATTGTGTTTATTTGCAACACTCTTTTATATCTTGAGTCTTTTTAGCGAATAAGTCAAAAATGTATTAAACATACTGTATATAACTACCACTAATCACTCCAAAATTATGCTTATGAAACAATTGTGCATCTATTTAAAACATTTGAATGAATAACTATTTGGTTTTTATGTTTTAAAATTTACATTTGTCAACATATCATCCGTTATCATGGTACAACACATACAAACTAATAAAATCACTCAATATATTAATCATTTATTAACCTAACAATTCAAATTAGGTATATAATCTATTATATACTTTACTAAAGAATATTTCAGTACTCTATGAAAGTTTTTTTTTGTTTTTTAGATATTATAACTTTTTAAAATTTATAATTAATACTAATAGTGTAAACACTAAAAAAGCTGAATTAAAACATTACATTAATACTTCCTAGAAAATTTATTTTGTTATTTATTAAGACAATTATATCTACAGTCTAATGAAAAAAACATGTCGTAGCCCAATAAAAATCAGTTTTTTTGGTTATCTCTACATGACATTCTGCCATAGTACAATTGGTCATGATAGCAGAACATCATATGGGTATACATATGATTGGTATGTTCCCTTGCTGAATAAAATAAATTTAATTTGAAGAGTTTAACTATAAAATGCAAAATAAAAATAGCAGTTTTTGTGTGATAAAACAAATATTAAGTTTAAAAATTAGTAAAAAGTTAATGTTTAGATTAATAACATTGTTTTAATAATAAATGAAAATATTACTTTTTGATTTCTTTTGATAAATCTAGTGAAAAATTGTATTGAGCAGCCTCTTCATACATTTTAAAGTAAAGGTCAGTATCGTTTTTCACATTTTCTACAGCTGATTCAAAAATTACTTTGGCTACAGATCCATTTAATGCAGGATCCTCTAGGTTTAACTCTTTTCCTGTTTAAACAGAAAAAATAGTTATTTTTAATACAATTATTATCAATATGAATTACACATACATTTTATTGAAGTTATTAATTAAAATACTTCAGTACATTTAACTAGGTATTACCTGATTTCAACACCTTTTGAGTAAGGGTTTCTGAATAGGCTAGTTCACATTTAAAAGCTTCAAAGTATAATTTTGATGAATTCTTATGTGCATTTAATCCATCAGTATACATTTCTCTTGCTTTTTGGATATTTTTTAAATCTTCAAATTCTTGTCTTATTGCAAAAACATACAGTGAATCTGAAATGTGACCATGTAATAACAAGGCACTGTTTAAAACTGTCCGTAACAATGTAAATCGTTTCTAAAAAAAAAAATAAAATAAATCTAAAGATAGATGTGAATGAAAATTGTTAGTGATTGTGTTCCATTTAATAGAATTTTAAATTTACTCATTAAACATTTATATATTTATACTTGTTATTAGTAATATAAATAATAATACCAAATTAAAAAATGTTTTTACTCACACATTTCATCAAGAATTTTATATATTCTTTCCAGAGGGATACATCATCTTTGAAATATTTAAGAGACGCACGATAAAGGTCAATGATACGGTTATTGTGCTGATTAATCAGTTTAAATGTTTCAGTAGTTGTTGAACCCATCTAACATAACACATCACATTATAATATAAAATTGACAGTAAAATATTAAAACTACTGTTGTAGGTTATTACTTTTTTAACTTTCTTAATAACTGATTTCAAAAATGTTATATAAAGAGTAAAATCTGACTTTTGTTTGTTTCGACGCATCAATCTGTACTCAAATTTTTCTCGTTGATTCAATATATTTCTGTAGATAAAATAAAATAAAATAACATAAGCATAATATAAACAATTTACATTTATAATATATAATATTGATTAAATAGTAGTAAATATTTGATTGGAATTTAAGTTTTATAAAATATTTGTGTTTACTTTACAACAGATTTTTTAAAGTGACTATTAAGTACTGGAACTTCAGTAATCAATTCTTCTTTGCGTCGCTGTACAAATTCTGCCATCTTGAGATAATAATTCTGAGTACAAAAACTATATTAACTCAAAGTAATATAATTAAATACAATTTACAGTTTTAGAATGAATCAATCATATTTAAGTAAGGTATAAATCTAAAATTTCAAAATAATTATAATGAAAAATTAAATCAGTGATCAACACTAACTATATACTATATAGTAACTAGGTACCTATCACAACATTCACTACACGCGCCGCACAATCAAAATAATGCACAATGCACATTTATCTTACATAACCTCAAATAATTCAAATTACTATCTGCTTATCAGCTAAACTAAAATAATTTTGTGCGCTTGTGTATTTATGCGCTATTATTTTTTTTTTAAATCTTTACTGAATAAAATAAAATAATAATATGCTGGTTGACTGGTAAAAGGAAACAGTAGTGTTACCGAGGAAATATTAAATGGATGAGTTGAAAAAAATTCAACGTCCACCCCGTATTATATTTTTATTTTACATAGTTACATGATGTTGCATAAATAAGTATTCCAAGATAGAAATATTAAAATGTATGATATAATTGATATAAAATATATTTCTTACACCTTCAACAAAATTGGATTCAGGAAAATATTGGTTCCCGCGTAAAAACTCAATTTGCAGACAATTGGTCTGTACAATTTTTTTTCTTCGACAAATCAGTTTTTGATATCCAAATTCAATTTTCTCGTAGGCCGTAGCTAATAATAAAACTATTCATTATTATATTATTTATATTATACACAATACTGATATAAAGTGAGAAGCGAGAATTGTTCAGCCTATATCTATAAATTACGTAGTCTAAATTTGAAATGAACAGGTTGAATAAACGGCAATAAAAGGTATATATATATATTTATCAAGAGAAAATAAATTAATTAAGATAATACTACCTACATAAAGATAAGTAACACTTAATAATGTAAGACATGGTATATTATGAAAAAGTTTGCTAAAAATAGATATTAAAAGTTACAATCATTGAGTTATAAAACGGATTGTAATTTTAGTCTTATTTTATCATTTTTTAAAAATATACCTCAACTTTCAACGTGTAAGTCGGTTTAAAATTAAATGAATGATATGGTACAAAATGCAAACATGCCTGTGTGCTTATTTTTTACATCGATTTGTGAACGAATTTTTTGTTTTTTGTTAAAAAATTTTTTTATAATTTTATTAATTTTACTGCAAAAAAAAAATTCAAAAAAATTTATGGCTGTAGCCAAAAGCGCAAAAATATAAATACCTGTTTAACAAACCATAAACGCAAATACATTTTACAAAAATAAAGTATACTTATAAGTAAGAAATAAGTTTATACTGTATATTATGTATATTGTATAGTTATCTTAAATGTTTATCAACCTGATCCGTAATTCGTTACGATAAAATACGATACGATAATACTAAAATTTAACTGAATTCAATCACTGTTGATGTATTTTTGAATTATAAAAATACTATACTTGTATATTTAATTAAAATTAATAATTTTAAAACGAAACTTATAATGCAATGGGTATAATATTTATTTTTGCGCTTTTATCCCCCTACTAAGGTACAAAAGCGCAAAATAAATTTGCGATTTTGGTCTATCGAAAAAAATAGACAATTTGTGCTTTTGGATTTCACAGAAATATTTATGTATCACATAGAAAAAAAAAATGCCTGATGAATAATAACCCATTTACCGACAAAACTGTACCTATTATAGAAATAGAATAAAAATAATAATATTATTAATAGTCCGTAACTGACATTCGGACATTAACTCTCCCTAAAGATTTTCAGAATATATCTGCATACGTTCTTGCTCCTCAAACTAAATTATAGCCTTATAAAAATGAAATCACATAATATGTTTGTATGTATAATATATTGCCTATTTTGTCTCCTTAAAAATATTCTATTTTGATTTAAACTTTAATAATAACTTTACTGAGTATTTCTATACTTACACTACTCTATTAATACAATTCGTTAACTTAATTGAATTTTTTTTTGAATTTTTAAAATTTTAAAGATAGTCATACATTTTTGTATTTATTGTGATTTAATACAGGATTGGTTCACAATAAAAATAACTTGTCAACCAATAAATTCACTTAAATTAAAGTTAAAAAAACAACTAAAAAGGAAAAGTTAATTAGTTAGGAAATTAAAATAATGAACGATTGCTATATTTTAAGTTTACACTTTTACAGTTCGTGGAAAATGTATATTATAAGTGTATACCAAATTAATTTTAGATTCCGAATGCAGCAATAAATGTATTGACTTTTAATGCGTGTTTTTTTTGTCTGTCAGCAGTAATGAACGAATCTAACCTATTGAGCAATAAAAATGTTTTAATTCTTAACATTAGAGGCGATTTCTGATTGCGAATTAGATATAGTTAGTAATATTTATTTAGTTTTTTATTATTTTTTTTTTTTTTTTTTGGGGGGGAGGGAAAAAAATTCAAGTAATTTTCAAAAACGTCAGGAAAAATCAACAAAAAATTAAGAAGAACCAAGAATTAAAAATAAATTTTTGAAAAGATATATTTCTTTATATTTTTTAAATAAAAATGATAAGCAGTAAAACGTTATAGGTACCTATACAAATTTTATTATTATAATATGTACACTCTATGGCATATATATTTGCATTTATGACTAATATAATATACAAATATATATGTGATAGAGTGTGCATATGGCAAAGAGTGTATTTATTAGCTATAGATGCTAATGTATATACCATCGAGACTCAATGATTGAGTGTATATTTTATGAATGAAGTATTATTTATTTTTTAATATTACAACAAATGAAAAGTTTTTGAAAAAGTTAAATTTACTTATCGTAATACAAATTGTAAAATAAATTACTTTAATAGGAATACCAATAAATATATCATGATATATACTTATAGTGATATAAGTCAACACATTATCTTCATTTAAATAGAATCGTTATATACATCGATATATCAAATTTTATACTTCTATTACAATGAATCAATATGCGCCTATTATACAGGACAGAGACATCGACTTGCAAACCTATTTTATTATCATTTGTTTTGATTAACTTTGACTTATTTGATATTTATTATATTTGTCATTATTATTTATTATATTATATGGACATTCATGGGCGTAACGAGAGTGGGGCAGGGGGAGTACTTGCCCCCCTCTGCCTGTGCTTCAAACTAAATTATTTTTCTTAGACCAAACGTATAAGTTTTACCATTGATTATAGTATAAGTAGTTTTTAATTTTAATGCAATAGTTAATCGGAACTGTTATAAATGTTATTTATTGTCTAAAGCCTATAGACCACCCAGAACAAATTCGTTCTTATATTCATACCTGCAAATGTACAGGTATTTGGATAGTCACTAGGACTAGGGAACCAATTCAATAGTTTGGAATCAACTCGTTGGCATCCCTTTTATTGTTATACTGTTTACATAGAATGTTCCGCAGTTTAATATTATTTTTATTGCGTGTTCGCTTGCATACAATAACGGATTTGAGTTTGAAATTTCCAATTTTTATCTCATAAAATCGTATTTATAGTCTCTACAGAACGAAATAATAATATATTACATATAACATAATGCGACTTGGCATTTTTTCCTCAACAACAAAGCCCGTTATAGACGTACCTATACGTGTATAATATATAATGTGTATAAGCATACACGTTCTTCGTATGAAATAATGCTTTGAACATACGATACATACGATTGAAAATAGACATTTTTTTCATCAATATCCGTCCGGATGTTGTATAATGTATACCTGGACACGTTATCCGTATCTAAGGGTCATCATCCGTAGAAATCGGCATTCAATTGTAAGTATTATATGGGCTTTTTTGAAATCACCCTTAATTCCTGGCCGTGGTGCCATCGTATTGTATATTCTATTATTGCGTAACATCGCCCCCGTACCAGGTACCTGCTGATATAGCCAATGTAATGTAGTCGTGATCCTACATCAATGGATCCAATTATTGCGCAATGACTCGACGCACGGCTAGAGATCGTTTTTCGACCTTTTCGTTCCGACATAATGATAATAGGATATATTATATCCACATATAATATGTTATTTATATTGCACTGCTGAATAGACGGATTATACTTTACGCACACGAGGTGAGGTGTAACATTTATATATATTTTATAAATACGTGTATCAATGGTCATACTAAAGTCGAAATTTAATGAAAAGCCATAATATATATATTATATAAATATATACCTCTAAATTCGGTGAATTCAATAACATTCTATCGTAAAAAATGTACTGTTATAACTTGTAGTACTATATCATTCAGAAAATCGAAATGTTCTGATGTTCTGAATACAGTTACGAAATGGATTATTTAGTCGCATGTTATACCAAAATAGAACGAAATATATCCAATAAATATTTATTTAAAGGTTTTAATCAAAAATATTTTATAGAAATCATTATTAATATGCGCAGTTACTTAAGACAAATGAATAGTCAACACTGACAATATTTATATGATGGGTTCTTCATTATAAGGGTGTATTTGTATCCAAAAGGTGGATCTCCAATCGTCATAGACCAAACGTAAAATCGTAATTATTTGTAATGTAACTCATCACTGTAGATAACAAAAATTTCCGATCGAGCATCTTATTCCTATAATATGGATATCGGATATAAACTATAATACATATTATATAATGATATATTTTGTGATTTTATAAATTTGTTATTTTAACTGACTTATAAAGAAAAATTTGCGATTTTTAAGTTAAAATACATTTGATATTCTTAAGCACATTTGATGTTGACTCTTGTCGTGTTTTACTATGTCATTTTTTTCTTGATTCTTTAGTGTAGGTATAGGTAATTGAGTAAAATCGAGTTACACAGTTAGTTTTATTTAAAAAAAAAACAATTTTATAAATTAACATAAAATAAAATATTATTGCACCGTCTTATCGTGAATTGGAAAATTTAAAATAAAATGTTATATTGTCATTGCAGACATTGACCGACTCGTTGTACGTGTTAAAGATTAAATTTTTTTGAAATAATAAAACTATGTCGATTATATGAATTAAATATCTTATGTAAATATAGTATTATATCAGATGACATATAGTAATGAATAATAATATTAATATGTCTTGTT